TAACGACGTCTCCGTAATTCCCGTCGTCTTCACCCTGCTCCGTAAGATATCCTGGTCGGTAGGGATGTAATTCGTAGCTGCCATACGGTCGATCGAGTTGAAGTAGTACACTGCTGAATCGTTCAGCTGGAACTCCCGGGAACGACGCACGGCTTCTTTGACGCCGGGGTCACGCCAGAGGGAGCGCACGGCGTCGACGACGTCTCGTGGGAGGACGTCTGCTTCGATTTGCATGGGGAGGGCCATGATGGTTGCGCGGCGGGCGTCGTTTTGCGGTGCGAGGGTTAGGTCGAGTTGTGGGAGGGCTTCGAGGATTTCCCTTTGTGTCCGATGTTGGTTAGCCTATGCAGACACATACAACGAGATGGGGGGAAACGGACCACATTGACTGGATGGTGTTTGAGAAGATGATCTCCTTGTACGAGTCCCTTTCGGAATCTTTCCGATTTTCGAGAACTGAAGGGAGCACCATCAGTATCGGTAAGGGTAGAGCGAAAATGAAGCATGGAAAATGAACTCCATAAACAGATCACGAAGGTAATCCAATCAAAGCTAAGGGACGAAGAGTGAAGCCCAGTGAAAACCGGCTCTGCACGGTTCTGCACGGTTCTGAGATAATGCGCACAAATCTGCAACTCTGGGCAAAATCGGAGTTGATCCGCCAGATTCGGCAGTACTCAAATTTTAATTAAATTTAAGCTGAGATACAAATCTAAGTGATTTTGAAAGTTCCTTGAAGTCGAGAACGACTCGCTGTACTGCCAATCCACACGTTTTTCAGTTCCGGTTCTCTTTGCTCAATTTTGTTGCGTTGATGGCTCCACAAAAGCAACCAGGTTACTGCCCCAGGTGCAACGGTGCGCTAATGAGCTCCAAGGTCATCGCACGACATCAGACTGCCACGAAAAAAACTGAAATTCCGACGTTCGATGAATGGATGGCCACGAGGGAAAGGTTGGATGGTGAGGAGATTATGGATGGATCAGAACCAGAAGGAAAAGAGGAAGACCTGCCTGAAGAGGAGGAACTTCTCGCACCGAGGAAGCGCCGCCGGCTCGCCGTTCCTCATCCAGTATGTGTAGCGTCTCTCCCGCCCTTTTGTTTTAGATACAAATTGTTCAATAACATCCAACTTACATTATATTGGGGCTCTAGACTCGGAACGCCTCACAAGAACCTCCAGAAGAATTTATCCCCCCATTAGATGTCATTGAAGATGGATATCGTGAGGATCTCGA